GGACGGGGGGGGTCGGGCTGTGCAGCGGAGAAGGGAGGGGGGAGAAGGGGCAGGCAGGGGAGGCCGGGGGCAGGTGGGGGGGCCGGGCTGTGCAGGAGGGCAGCGACAGCGGCCTGGGGGAGGCGGCGTGCGGGGACGGGCAGGGCGGAGGGGCGGGAAGGAGGGCAGGGCGGGTCGGGGTGTGCAGCAGGGGCCGGAGGGGGAGCGGGGCCAGGCCGGCTGGGCCAGGCCGGCTGGGGGGACAGGGAGGGCGGAGGGGGTCGGGCTGCCCCTGCGGGGCAGGGAGGGGGCGCCGGGCACGAGCGGGTTGGGGAGGGAGGGACGGGGTGGGCTAGGGTGGAGAGGGAGGCGGGGGGGTTTGGGGGGGGGAGGGTGTGGGGGGTAGGGGGGGGGAGGAAGGGAGGGGACGAAGGAACGGGAACAAAGTAAAAGAAAACGGAAAAGCAAAAGCAAAGAAAAAGAGCCGCGGCAGCGAGAGGCTCCCGCGGCGCTGCTGCCTCCCCGCGCACTGCCCGAGCAAATGGCTGTGGGGGCGAGTTCCGGCGCTTAAATACCCCCGCCCCGACCCGCCCCCTGCCCGTCCCCGCCCCGCGCACCTGGACGGGCCCCGCCTCGCACACCTGTGCGGGCCCCGCTCCGCCCCGGACCCGCCCCGGACCCGCCCCGCCCGCGGGGTTTAAAGCCGGCAGAGCCGCGGTCGCCCCGCGTTTGTGGAAGAAGCTCGTACCGGGATGCTGCGGGAGCGATCGGCGCTCGGGGCCGGAGTCCCGGCCCGGCGGCTGCTCCCGGCGCTGCGCCGAGCTCGGGGCGCTGAGCGGGGACGGCACCGGAGGACCGAGGCTGGCTTGGAGCTGCGATGGGGTTCGGCAGCGGTACGGGGATCGGCATCGCCGGAGTCGCTCCGGGGTGGGCGCTGGGGCCGAGCTCGGCAGGGCCGCTCGGGCCGGGGCTCTGCCGGGGCCCGGTTGGGGGAGAACGGCGGCGCTTTCCTCGTACAGACGCGGAACCCGGGTCGGGACCGGCCGGGGTGCGGGGACACGCCGGGCCGGCCCCGGGACCCCCCGATCCCGCCGGGCCCGCGGCGCCGCCCGCACCCCCCGCGGGATCGGAGCTCCTCCCGCTCGGGCAACCCCGAGGCCATCGCACTTCCCCACCCCCCCCGAAGAACATCGCCCGCTTCCCTCTTCCCCGCGGCCCCAGGAGGTTCCCGCCCGCAGGGCCCCCCGGGAACGAGGGCTCTGGGGCCCGCCGGGGCTCCGGCCACGGACCCGCTCCGGCCGCGGGGAGCCGGGGCCCTGCCGGGGCAGGGAAGAACGGGGGCAGCCGCTCCCTCGTTCCTCCCGTGCTCCGGGACCCCGAGCAGAGCTCTGTCTGTCTGTCCCCTGTCTCTGTGTCTGTCCACAGGCGGCCCCAGGAGCTGGCGCTGACCGTGCCGCGGCTCGGGCATAGGCTGCTCCCAGCTCTGCCTGCGGAACTTCGGCAATTGCCCCCAGCAGTTCTTTGCCCTGCCATCCAGAAGGTGCGGCTCCTCTGACACCTGCCAGGTGAGACCTGAGGCTCTCCTTCCTCTCCCCCGCTTCCTCGGCAACTCGCACCCTCCCGGGGCGAACCCTCTGCTTTTGAAAAATCCCCCATCTTTATTTGCAGACGGGGAAGGTCCTGCCTGGGAGGGAAACGGCTACAGGAGAGGAAACCAAGAAACGCTCCAACCGGACGCTGCCGCGCGAGTCAAAGGAGGGAAGGACCGCAGGTAAATACAGTCAGGAAATCCGCTTTTATTAAATCTCTGCAGCATTAAATCCCCCCTTCCCAGCCACGGGCCGGAGGGAGCGCGGCCGGCTGGGCTGTGCCCGGCTGGGGACGGGCACCAATTCATCACTGCCCTGCTCAGGGAGGTTTTCCGGCCGTGTCCGGGATTCACCCAACGGCTGCAAAGGTGCTCGTGTGACTTCCGAGCTCATTTCCAGAGATAAAGGAGCCAAACGAGTCCGGAGGGATCCTTCGCTCCGAAGCAAAGGCGTCGGTCGAGTGTCGCCGCCTGGTCCCGCCTGCGGGGGGGCGTCTCCTCCAGGTGAGCCTTCGGAACCCAAAATGCCGGGGGGAGGGGCTCAGGTCGGGGCCGCTTTTCGGGCCCGGAGTTGGACGGAGCCCTCGGCGGCTCCTGATTTCCGCCAGGAACGTTCTCGGGGCTCCCTGGGCAGTCCCAGCTGGGCAGGGAACGCGGGCCGGGAGGAGGCCGGAGCGACAGAGAATGACCCAGCCCTGCTTGGGCTTCCTATTGCCGGGGGATGGAGGAGCTGTGCCCTGCACTGCCCTTCCTATTGCCGGGGGATGGAGGAGCTGTGCCCTGGAGCCGTGCCCTACAGCCCCCATGGGGTGGGCACGGGGAAAGGGCTGCCCGCGGCTCCTCAGCCGGGCGCTGCTCTGAACGGGCACCCTGAGATGCCTCACCCTGGACACGCCCCAGCGACAGCCCCAAAGGACCCAAAGAATCCAGCCGGCACCCGGCAGTGTCGGCACGGCGGGGCTGCAGAGCAGCGCGGGCACCCATTCCCAGGGCCCACCTCCCAGAGCTGTCCCGCGCCCCCCACGGGTGTCCCGCCCACCCCAAATCCCTGCCCTTCCAGCCGGAGGTGCTCTGAAGGCAGGGCTGTGCATCCCTTTCCTCGGGGAAAAGAACTCCCCGGGGCCGCTCCCGAGGCTCCGAAGGGACAGCGGCTTCCCGCCCGGCGAGACGTCCTCGCCCGTGCTCAGGGGCTGCCTCGCCCCGGGCCGGGAGCGCGTCCGGCCCCCGCCTTCTCCTGGGCCAACACATCCCCTGGAGCCCGGCCCGGGGCGGAAAAGCGGCCGAATTCCAGGGAACTCGCTCAAGTCCCCCCAGGGACACCAGCGGGGCTGGGGGAGGAGGGTTATAAACAGCAAAGTCTGTGGAATATCAACCTGTCCTTGTCCCGATCCCGCTGAGTAAACCTGGAACCGTGGCTGCTTCCTGGCAAACGTGGCGTTAAAGCAGCAGCTCTGCGGGGGAAGATCCGGGCTCCAGGAGGCACTGGGAGGCTTTTCCAGCAGGAATTCGGCATGGAATTGCGGGCTGTAGGTAGAATTCATCCAAACCTGCAAAGCTGAGACCGGAACCCAAACCTGGGCCCCACGCAGAGAACAATCTTTGTGCTGCTGTGTCGGCCAAAGCCGCTGCACTGAGAGATCTTGGCAGCCTAAAGGAGGGTAAACCAGCATCTCCCAAGGGGACAATCCAAGTCCCAACTAAATCCTTTTGCCTTTCCACAGGGACACTGACCCTTATTTGGTCCTGCTCTCCCACGGTTCATTTTGGGGGATTGGTTTGTGCTGGTTTACATTCCACGACTCCACCCACAGCTGGAGGTTTGAGGCTGTGCTTCTCTACTCCCAGCAGGTTCCCTAAGGAGCCAGTTACTCCAACAATCCTCTCGTTTGACTTTCTAGGCGAATTGTGCACAAGCCAGTCCCCCATTCCCTATCCAGGCTGGGAGTGCTCGTGCCCTTGGCACAGTTGGCTCTGGCTGGGCAGGAACTGAGAGCAGGACACGGGATAGAGCGGATCAGCTGCCCAGGGAACCTCCAGGAGATGAAGCTACGGGATCCTCATTCCAATCAAGGGAACACATTCTGTCTCTGGCAGAGCCCCCTGCCCATGGCTGGCAAATCAGGGCCAGGGCTCGGCCTCGCTGCAGCCGCCCCACACGGGAACAACTCAGGGCTCAGACCAACATTTCCCTGCTTGGCCACTGCAGAGACCCTCAGGTCACCTCAACACCTTCCTTCTCTTCCCAGCAGGTTACCTGAACTTTAACACCCACAACTGTCTGTGTCTCTCACCACTCATCACCTCAGCTTACCTCAATGTGTTCATTCCCTGCCCTGCAGAGAATGAACCTCCTTTTTAACCCCCAAACTTTCCCCTTCCAGCCCACTCCTGATTACCTTTTCTTGAACACAAAAGAGTCATTCCCTCCCCCAGAGATTACCTCCTTTTTAACCCCCAGAGTCTTCCCTACCTGCACACTCCTGATTACCTCTTTTGGACCTCCAAATATTCATTCTCTGCCCTGCAGATTTGCTCAAGTTTCACCCGCAGAAATTCCTCTGCCTCTCCCCTCCTGACTTCCTCACTTTGTTCCAAAATGTTCCTTCTCTGCTGCACATTGCCACAGATTTGACCCCCACAATTTTCCCTACAAGTCCACCACTGAGTACCTCATGTTCATCTCTCAATATTCATCCTCTACCATGCAGATTACCTCAGATATTTCCCCCCCAATTTTCCCTATGAGTCCACAACTGATTACCCCAGTTTACCTCAGGATGTACATTCTCTGCTCCACGTGACCTCAAATTTGACAAACACGAATTTTCCCTACCTGCCCAACACTGACTGCCTCACTTTACCCCGAGGTATTCATTCTCTCTGCTACAGATTGCCCAGATTTTACTCCCAAAATTCTCCTTACCTACCCACATGTAATCAGCTCCTCTGTACAAACACATGTTCATTCTCTACCCTGTGGGCTACCCCAAGTTTACCCTAAAACACTCCCCAACTGTCCACCACTGAGTACCTCATTTATCCTTCAAAATATTCATTCTCTGCCCAGGACATTCCCTCAAGTTTTACCCCCAGAGGTTTCCCCTCCTGCCCACTGTTGACTGCCTCAGTGTCCATCAGGAGGTACATCCTCTCTGCTACAGGTGACCTGAAATTTTACACACACAAATTTTCCCTACCTGCCCACCACTCACTGCCTCACTTTATCTCTAAATGGTCATTCTGTCCTCTACAGATGAGATCAACTCTTACACCCAACATTTCCCTTCCTCTACATCACCCATTTTCTCTTCCTGACGCCCCAACTTTTCATTCCATCCCTACACATTCCCTGAGTGTTTCCCTCCCAAGCATCCTGCCCTTCTTCCCTGTTTAAGAACTCACACTCCAGCCCCAGGCTCTCCACTCCCCCTCAGTGGGACCCCTCCAAAATGCCACCTCCCTCCCCTCTGCAGCACCTCACCTTTTCCTACACAAACAGTTGCTGGGGCCCCTCGAAATTACCCCAAGTTGGCAGCTACAAATGTCACCTCTGTCCCTGCCATGTTCTCCCAGGTTTCCCCAGCTGGGAGCTGCAAGGAATTCAGGCCAGGGAATGGACAGCAGGGAACAGCTGTACATGCAAAGGCAGAAAGAGAAGGTCTGTCAGCAAAAGGCACAAAGAAGGGGACAGGCTTCAGAAAACATTTCTGCAATCTAATGAAGAACTCTTTCCAGTTTCCCAGGGAGAAGAACAGGAACTCACAGCCACCAAGGCCTGACAGTCCCCTGCAGCCAGAGCTCAGCACACAGCCAGAGAGGCAATTCCAGCATCTAAAAGGAAAAAAAAGAACAAAAAAAGTGATTTATTTTGGTTTAAAGTTACTTTAAGTTGTTCCAAGCAAAGCAAGCCTTGCTCTGGTTTCAGTTGGGTGAACAGGGAGCGCTGGGCACAGGGCACGTCATTAATGCCCAGGGGATGGGGCTTTGTGGGGGAGGGAAGAGCAGCTGATGGAGTTGCCCAGTCCAATTCCTGCCCAAGGCCTGACTGGCCCAGGACAAACCCTCTGGCAGGCAGTGGGTTTGTTCCCTCTCATGGTCAGTGCCCAGTGTGTCCCTGTGGGCAGTGCCAGGCTGGGGACAGGCACACGCAGCTGGCAGCACTCTCTGCTCCAAAGACACTTCTGGCCTCCTTGGCAAACTGCCTCTGACACTTGGTTTTCTCCAGCAGAAATTAAGGAATTGCTCATGGCAGTTTGGAGATGAAGTTCTCCCAAAGGGAAGGAAAGAACAAATATTCCTGTCAGAGCCCTTGGGATCTGCTGGGCTGAATTGGGAAGGGCCCCTTATCTGCAGAGCAAATACAGGACAGCCTCAAACACAAAGCCCAGCCTGTCCAGTGGGGTGTGAAAGCACCACTGGGACAAACCTCCACTCTCCTGATTCTTTTCAGGGGCTGCTCCGACCCAGCTCTGAAGCTGCCAAGCCCAAACTGTCCCCGGCGCTCTGGAACAACAGGATCTTCCCAGGGATGATGCACTGGAAGCACAGCCCTCGTTCTCACCCTCCACACGCTCCCAGGCTCACCCCAAATTCAGGACAAGGGGCCAAAGGCCCCTCGGGCCGGGGCTCTCTCTGTCTCTGCGGGCTCAGGGACTGCAGCCACCAGGGCCCTCCAGCACGGACAGCCTGGACCCAGAGCAGATCCCTGGGCATTGGCAGTGTCCTGGGCACACCTGGAGACAGAAACCATCAGCCTCTGGGGACAGCACTTCATTGCCAGCACACACAGCCTGCCACATTTAGGGGGGCAGCTCTCGGAGCACAAAGCCCAGTCTGACCCAGTTCTCCTGGGCACCAACACGGACTCCACAGACCCACAGGAATGACAATCTTCTGCTGCTTTGAGAAACTTCAGCCCAGCTTTGCAAACCTCAGTCCCTGCAGCTCCTGCTCTCCAGAGCCCCGTTCAGGGCTGGCTCCAGTTCCCTGGAGAACCTGCCCCAGCCCCACTCTGGGCCAGCCTGAGCAGAAGCCACTGGGCTGCACAAGGAAGAACCCTCCCCTGGCTGCTGCAGCTGGAGGGAGATCCAGCTCCCAATGGAACCCTGGGAACAGCCTCCCAGAGGGTCTCTCCCCAGCCCTTGGCAATGGCTCAGAATGGCAGCAGCTCCAGTGCCAGCTGGGTCCCTGCACGAGTCCTTGTCCCAGCCCTGCCCCACGGACACACACGGGAGACACCCACGGGCACACAGGCCTTGCTTGCACAATTCCTCACCCACAGCTGAGGGAAAGCCACACAATATTAAGAAATAACCTGGGCTGAGAGCACTCATCACTCCAGTCCATCAGGACTTGGAGGCAGTTGGGTAGGCAACAGACCCAAATTCTAATCCTACCTCTACATTTATAACAGGTTCTCTTAGAAAGATCCTGGACAGGAACTCAGACAACAGAACCCAAACACTGCCCAAGCAATAACAGAAGGTTTGCCAGGAAGAACAGGAGTTCCTTGTTTTCCTTAACACCCTGGGACTGTAGGACCCAATCTTTGCAACCAAGGGACACCAGAGATGTGATTAATACTTAAACCTCTCCCCCATGGTTCTGTCTCAGAGAACTGGACCAGCCCTGAGCTACTCCCAGGTGCTGCAGTGCTTTGGGGAGGGGCAAGACAATGTCCCACTTCTGCTTGGAAACATTCCAGATGAGGAAAAGCCACTTCCCTTCTCTCTCTCTGACCCAGAACCAAAGCGGTCCTGTAGGACAACACGGACTATGCACGGAAGGCCCGAGTCAGTGGGGGGAAAAGCCTAAACAAACCAAACCACCCCAAATTTCAAGATAAAAACAGGCTGCTTCCTTAACAGGAGCACACCAAACTCATTGAAGCCAGAGAGGAAATTACAAACAAACAAACAAACAAACAGAAGACCCAAAGAGATGCTTTGCACTGATACACTCTCTGGTTGATCATTCCAAAGGAAATTCTCCACAGATCAGAAGCAAGTACCAATACTTTGTCCTCTATTGAAAATTAATGACTTGAGGGGCTGGACATGTCCAGTGAGGGTTCAGGGGTCTGGTGGGTCCTTTATGGCTGATCCTGACCGGCCCAGGCCAAATCCAACCACCCCCATGGCTGCTCCATCCCAAACCCGGGGGCAACATTCAGACAGTTTGGAAATACTCCCCTTCCCTGCTACTCCGTCCTTCCTTACACATCCAGTGCCCAGGGAGCAAATGCCAACAGGCAGGAGGAGAGAAAGGTGTCCCTCTGACTTACCCCACCCCACGGGCAGCACCAGGAGCCCCCAGCCCGGCCGGCGGGGCTGCAGCCTCTTGCCTTTGGCTGCTCCCAGCCCAGGGCACTTGGCAGAGCTGGGCTGCAGTCAGGGCTTTGGCCTGGCCTGGAAGAGAGGAGAACAAGGCAATTAAGGGCACTGGGCAAGTCAAAGGCTCCTGCCCTTCACCCTTCTCTTCAATTGCTCACTAGAGAGTTTGAGCCATGAAAAATCCAGGGGGGACACCAAATGAAACGTGGCCTTTTCCAGCATCTTTATTCCTCTCTACTTCAGGCACTAAAAGGAGGCTCATCTTTCTCACTGCATTCCTTGCCCCATTGGAACAGAACCTTCTTTACTCCAAACCTCCCTTGGGAGTCAGTCAATCCTCTGCCATTGGACTTTGGGCAAAGGAAGAGACACCTGGGATGCTGGAGCCCAGGAAAGGAGAGAGAGGAAGCTGACAGGGAGAGGATTCAAGGCACTCCAGAACTCAGAAATGTGTTCATGCCTTGCCAGCCCACCCCCATTCTGTGCCACCCACCTGAGCTGGGCAGGTGAGGCCAAGGCTCCCCTTCCTGCTGCCAATCACTGTCCCAGCACACGGATCCCCGTGCTGGGCAGCACTTGGGAAAACCTGGGAAAGGCAAAAGGAAAATGGCACTGCCTGTCAGAAAACAAGTGTCCGTGAACATCCCTTCTGGACAAATGTAATCCCATCCCTCTGCCCCAATAAACCCAGGGCAGGCAGGTCTGTCCAGCCCAGGGAGAACAGGAAGGAGAACTGCAGGAACACAGGCAGGCACAGGCAGCTCTTGGCACTTCTTCCCTGCAGACCTCTCTGCACTTGGGGCTCTTGGCACTTCATTTATAAAGAATGGGGGGGCAGCAGCCCAGGAATGCCCCTCAAAACCAGGGGCCTGGGCAGCTGGAGATTAGAGGAGGGGAGCTGTGAGGGGAGACACGGAGAGAGAACAGGAACAGGGGTTGTTTGGGAACAGGCTGTGTGTCCAGCACAGATGGGAACTGGAAACACGGGAGGCTGGAGGAATGCAGGGGGGGAGCACGGGCCTGCCTTGGATGGATCCTTTTTCCCTTTGCTCAGGGGCCTCAACTCCACCCTCTCTGAGAGCAGCAGGGAACTGCTGCAGGGGAAGAGTTCATTTAGGCACAAGGCAGTGATGCAGCCACTGGGGCAGGGGAAGAGGGAAGAGGAACTGACACAAAAAGGACACAATCACCACTGAAAGGGACTTTATTGAGCTGCAACACAAACACATTCACAGCAGGCCAGGGCAAGAGGTGCCCACAGGACCACCAACACAGCAGCTGGGCTGGCAGGAACACCATCTTAACAAGTTATGGAGCCAGGGGCTCACAGTTGGGATCCATCCCAAAGATGCACTCAGACATCAGGGCCAAGTCCTGCCCAGTCACTGCACACAGTTCAGCCCCAGCAGCAGTGGCATTTTCTGCCTCTCCCTCCAATATCATTTGGGACCCAACAGCTCAAGGCTGTGGAATTTTACCTCCAAGGGTGGAGGGCACGGAACAGCTGCACACACCTTGGCTGCCTTGGCCCAGCACACACTCACAGCACCTGCAGCCTTCAGCCAGGGCCCCTGAGCACACACAGCCCTTACCCTGCTCCTCAGGGGCAGCAGCCCCGGGGCTCAGTTCTCAGGGAACTTCTCATCTTTCCTTTGGTCCTTTGATCCCTGGGCAGGGCAGAGACACGTGAGAAACAACTTCTTGTAATTGATCCCAGAGACAACAACTCCATATTGTTCATAAAATCAGTATAATTACAGTGATTAGTGGATGGATTAAAGTGTTCAAAAACTTGGTAGCAGATGGTGAGAATCTTGTAAATATGTCCCACCAGTGGGGAGCAGTGACTTGTTCTACCTGACGCCCAAAGGTCACTAATTGACCCCCTATATTTACTGTTTGCATTTGGTGATCAAGTCAAGTCTTATTTCAAATTTGCAGGGCAATAATTTGCACTTACATACAAAAATCCCTGGTTTACTTACATTGCAGTGTGTTATTTTTCCAGCACGATATCAGGTGGTGCACTGCAGCAATTCAGGAGACAAAATCCAGTTAATTTTTGCAATCCAGGATGGGAATACAGCCCTCCAGATCAGTTCATTGGTACCCATTAAGTCCTTCTGTGCCTCATTTCTTTGTATTACAATATACACACCATGTCATGTGCACTCAGCCCAGTTCATAAGTTACTGGTGTTCCCCTGTGCACAACAATTACATCTTGGGGAACCATCAGAGAGCTGCCCAAACTCCCCATCACATTCTGGAGTGAAGGGTGGGGGGTAAATACAGTGGGCATCCCTTGTGCTCCTGAATTCAGCACTCGGGATACACCTGGCCCAGCTCTTTGCCATTGGTTACCAAACAATTCCATGTCTCCACCGTCTACAAATCCAATACCAGCTCCCGTTCCTCCCAGTCCCGTGTCCCCCCAGCCTCGCTGCCTGGGCCAAAATGGGAGCACTGGAAGCAGAGTGGGGAAAGGAATTCTATTATCCTGATGATGTTGGGCTGCAGGACACAGGCAGCAGGTACCCAACAGTTGGACCAATATTCGCCTCGGGAGGATGATGCCCAACTGTGCCATCCCCTGCCCCAGCTGATCCCTTTGCTCTTTTGGCAGCACTTCCCCAGAACAGCCCCGCAGGCAGAGCCCAGGGGACGGCCCTGCTGCTGTGACACTGGGGCTGGGACTGGCACTGCTCACACAGGGGGAACAAGGATGCCAGGGAGACCCCCCGGACCCAGCACCGTAAGGGAAACTACAGCACTGCATGGCAACAGTGCTCCCAGCCCCTGGAATCACATCCATCCCATCCCACTGAGGGCACCAACAGCCGCCCGCACAATGAGCCCGACAGACCCCGGCCCTGCCAGAGAGTCCCCCCGGGCACAAAGGGAGACTGACCCCTGGCCAAGGGCCATTTGCTTCCTGGGGCACCTTGTCCTGGGGGCCTGGTTTGGAGCTGCTTTTCCACCTCCATCCAAATCAAACCAAGGCACCCGACCCAGGCACCTTTCCCAGGGAACTGCCCGGGCCAACAGCATCGCCCAGAGGGACCACAAGGGCTCTGAGGATGGCCAGGATCCACAGTTTCTGTAA